GTTCATCAAAGCACGGAAAGTCGCCGCGCGTTGGAAAGGCCGAGCAACATGACCAAGAACTCAAAATGGCCATGGTGAGTCACGGAACGCCGCCTTGGCGACGTCGTCGGGGTGCATCCGCACTTGGTGGTAGCCTGAGCGCAGATCGAGCTTGGTGAAGAAGGGAGCCCCATGAAGCTCGTCGAGGAGCTCATCGACGACCGAAATCGAGAATTTGTCCTTGGATGTCTTGGCGTTGAGGGCCTGGTAGTCGATGCAAAAGTGTCAGGAGTTGTCCGCCTTGTGCACCAACAAAGACGGGGCGAAAACGAAGCGACGCGGTTTCGGCCGATGATGCCTTGGGCGAGCATAGCAGCGCACTGACGCTCCAACTCATCCTTCTGCAGCTGTGGGTAGCGATAGGGGTGAAACGACTCTACGGAGCTGCCCGGCATGAGGTGGATCACGGTGATCATACGGCCGCATCGGAGGGAGCCCCTGTGGCTCGGCGAAGACCGGCTCAAACTGCTCCAGGAGCCGGTCCAGTAGTGGCTGGGAGGAGGCAGCGGCGATCGCCCACGCGGCCGGTTCCCAGATGTCGTCGCGGGGGGAGCCCAGGCCCTTTCACAGAATGCACCGGGAGACCCGTGTGAAAGCCATGCACAAATCCTCGAAGTCCCAGAGGATAGGACCCAGTGTACGTAGGAACTCGACGCCAAGAATAAGATCAAAACCACCCAGGCTGATGCCATAGCAGCTGATGGTGAACTCCTCTGTACCAATGGCCAAGGCCACATCCCGGGCGACGCCTTCGCAAGGCACACAATCGCCGTTGGCCACCAGTACCCGCATGGTAGGGTGCGGAGCTGTAGAGAGATTTAGGCGACGCAGGAGATCAGCGTTGATGAAGTTGTGCGTCGAGCCAGAGTCGAGGAGCGCCACAAGACGATGGCCATGCACGGAGACTAGAAGGAGCATAGCATTCTCGGTTCGAATGCCGGCGATGGCGTAGAGGGACACCTGAGGCTGGACTACAGGTTCCTACACCACTGCTGGGGCAGGCGCATGCATAGCAGCCTCCTTTGGAAATGCAGCAGTAGCGGCCACCTCCGCTGGGATCTCATCGTCGAGGAAATCCGCCTACTCGAGGTAGAATAGGCGCTGGCACACATGACCGCGCACATAGGGCTCATCACAATTGTAGCAGAGACCTTGGCGGCGACGCTCCAATTGCTCCATTGGGGACAAGCGGCGGAAAGGACGAGCAGGGACCACAGCGCCCGCTGGTGCCTGAGTTGTGGTCGCACCTGGGGCTGCTGGTACCGCTGCAGCAGGCCGTAGCGACGCTGGGATGCTCGGACGCTGAGGAGGCCGGACGCCACGTGGAGGAGTGGCTGGCATCGTGGCAGCGGCGCGCCGCTCAAAAGCCCTAGCCAAATACATGGCCGTTTGGAGGTCCTAGGGTTCCCGCAGCTCCACGTCGACCTTGATGTGCTCCGGCAGCCCGCCCACAAACAACTCCGCCTTCTGGGGCGAGGAGAGGTTTCGAGCATGACAGAGCACTGCATTGAAGTGGTCGGAGTAGTCCTGTACCATGGAGGTGAATGGCAGGCGAGCAAGTTTGGATAGACGGGTCCCACGAACCGCCGGCCCAAAACGCAGATTGCGCAGCTCCTTGAAACGATCCCACGTAGGCATGCCCTCGTCCTGCTCTAGGGCGTAGTACCATGTTTGGGCCGCGTTGGTGAGATGGTACGACGCGAGACAAGTGCGGTCTGAGGCGAGGGTGCGCTGCCCGCGGAAGAACTGGTCACAATGATTGAGCCAATTGAGGGGATCCTCGACGCCATCATAGGTGGGGAACTCCAACTTGTAGAAGCGCGGAGGGTGAGCGCCGTGGCTGACACCCGGAGCTGCTGGTTCTAGAGCAAAGGTTGTGGACGGCGAGGCGCCGGGGTGGTGCTGCATTTTGCCGCCGTAGAGTAGAGGGCCATCAACGCCCCTCATAGAAACCCCCTCCGTGTAGGAGGGCTGCTGGACCGCCCCACCGTAGTGGATCAGGGCGCCTGTGGTAGGGGCTGGGGCAGCCAACGTCATGGTTGTCGGGAACGTTGCCATCGTATACACCGGCCCTACCGTCGAGGCCAAGGCATAAGATGGGATCGGCGACGGAGAGGGCGGCATCCACAGTAGATGGATGGGCACACCCGTTGTGCTGGACTGGGGCATCCCAGCAGGGAACACCGCGGCAGGGAGGCCATGGCCGATTGCGCGGCGGTGGCCGCGGTGGGGGAGGCGGCTGCTGCGAACTGATGAGATAGGACTGCATCGCGGCCATGGAACGGGACAGCTCGTGGATGGCCGCGGTCATCTGCTCCATCGACATTGTAGAAGACGCAGCGGCCGCTGAGGCGGATGACAGCAGGGAGGAGGATGTAGGCTGCGCAGCAGTGGTGGTTGGCGGCAGCGGCAGTGGGCTGGTGGAGGTGCGAAGAGAACTTGACATCTCTGATACCAGATTGATATGACTTGATGCCTTACCGAAGTTGCTACGTAGGTTATAGGGGTGGAAGAGCGGAGGGCGAGGCTTAGGGAAACGGCGGCGGGTTAGCACCGTTGTGATCACGGCGCAAGGAGGAAGAGGAGGTGCGGCTAGGGCTCCCAAGGGAAGCCGGCAACAAATATGTTGCTTCTGCTTAATTCCAATCTTAATTGTTTACAGAGTACTTATCCTCTCTAGGATCCTATAATTAAGGAATAAATACCATAAATAGCAAATAATAATAGTATGGGCTCTTAGCCCCTATAGCCGGCGTCCTCCTCTAGCCACTAATGGGCCTGCGACTATTATAATAGACGCCGGTCATAACAGTAAATAAGTGAACACAAGAAGTAAAGGCTTGCGTTTATATTCATACAATTGCTATGGATCAGTACTACAACAAAACATCTGCCACTGTGAACTGCGATGTTTTTCAATGTTTTGTTCTCAGATCTCTGCATAAAAATATGAGTCAACCTCAATGCTCTGTTCTCACTTGGAAACTAGGAAAATTAAATATAAGAAAAGGAACATTGTATTTAATATAAACATTAAAGCCTGGATCTAACCATCCATGCATAAGCATGAGCTATAGGTCACCATAATCAATATAACACGCAGGGTCATTTCCATTTCAAAGGGAAAACATGCCCCTCTGGCGAAGTGGCTAAACTGTGCACGTCCTGAACCCAGGCTTAACAAAATGATGATCAAGGAAAGCAGTATATACCAAAAATTTCTCCTGATTACTCCCAGAAGCACATTTTAGTTACTAAGTTCTGCTATCTGTCCTTCTATCATGCAAATTAAAGCTAGATACGATTTCAACCCAATGTTATGCCAAGATGAAACCAGCTTCTCACAAGTTATACCGGTTTGAGCAGTGTGCTTGGGGTCTCCCCTTGCCGGTCCGCGTTCAAATCCTGGTACAGCTTCTTATTTCAATGCCCAGGGGCTTCTTCCCCCCTGTGGTCGAGTTTTTGTTATGCCAAGATGGAAGAGGTTTTATTGCAATATGGCTACACACAAGAAACTGAGCCGCACAACACCACTAATTAATGGCACCACCATTAACTCGACGATAGAACCACAGGTAAACTAGAAGAATGAGTGTTCACACTGCTGGCACATTGCAACAGATTAGTGGCCAGTGTGATTAGATTGGCCAAATAAGGAAGCAGCTCATGCTCATATACACAAACAGTATTGCAATATGAACCTACAGCTACTGAAAGGGACTAAAGAATTGAAGAAAACCAAGATTACCTTGGTGGTTACACAAGAGGAGCCCAAAAATTGCCAAAAACGCGTCTGAAAAAAAGGTACATTGATACAGTTCAATGTTCAATTCCAAGGAGAGATTGCTCCAAAGATTTCACAAATAAAATTAAGAGTTCCGCTAGGTAATAGAAGCAGAATATTTGCCCTGCCTGGGAAACAAGACTGTAGAACTTGCAGTAATCCAAAACTAAATAGTAGCGCCCCAACTGAAATTACTTGCATTCCCTCAAAAAAAAAAATACTTGCAAGTTGGTAGCATGGAATAGCTTTTGCATGAACTACTGAGTATGACTTAAGTTCAATGGCCGTAGTTGCAGCACAAATATAGGACAAATTAGCATCGGCATTGATCCCGATCCTCCATAGTTGAATTGGTCTGCTACTTTGCTAAATTGGATTCAACCATCATTGAACCTGCTGCTCATGTCCTCGCTTGGGACAAGAAAGAAGGGCTAAGGGGCAGCAAAAGTGCAAAACCAAACATCAGAGAATAAAATTAACCTAGCTGGTAGTGCAGAAGAGACAATCAGCATCTTCCTCTCCGCATCAAGCTGGTACTCACCCCAATCGTCATCTCCAGCACCAAATCGCTCTCCCTCCCACCTATCAAGCTGTTGCTCACTGAGGTGCTTGAGGCTTGAGCACTAGACAGGGGAAATTGAAGCGTGGCCAATATTCGAATAAGATGACAGAGATAGCTAATGCACTTTCTGTAAGTTATTTTCAGCATCTTAAAACTACATTGAAACAAATATATTGCATTCCTACGATTCATTATGCTTTGCTCGAACACGGTATGACGGATATCTCGAACACGGTATGACGGATATCTGACAATCCTAATGCTGAAATCCATCTTCTAATGTCAAAATTTGTAAAAAAATTCAGAGGTCACAAGAACAATAGGCCACTGATAGATAGCAATGAGCATTTGCAAGGTAGAACGATCAAGTACAGGTGTTGCTCATATCAGATAAGTAACTAGGTAGCTTACAAAAGATGTATATTTACAGGTAGATTTTAGATATTTCTCCTGAAGAGCTTTGCATAGTAGAGGAACATCCGAGTTTTCAAAACTTGGGCATTCCCTGTTTGGCTGCTGAAAGCTGATCAGAGGGCGATGAACTCAAGCAAGCAATGACTTCTCCAGAACAGGACCTTCCTCGTTCCATTCAACTACCAATAACCAAGAGATTAGCTACTTCTTATCTCTGTCATCCTCGCTTGTTTCCGACACGGCTCGATCAGATATGGCCTCGGGCTCCCAGCCTTGCATTCCAGACTTCATGATCACCCACTGAAGTGATTCAATCACCTGCCGGTCATACATCTGATTCTGCTTCATCATTTCCGAGAATTGCCGCGCCTCCCTCTCCACCAGCGCCTTCTCGCTACGCAGGCACGCAATCTTGGCCATGGCCTCGTCAGCTGCAGACGCTGCAGCATGCCTCTCCTTCTCCAGCTCCTCGAGGGCAACCTCCTTCAGCAGCCTCTCCTCCTTGAGCCTCCTCCTCAGATACTGCACATTGCCTTCTTCTGAATCGCTGGTCTCTCCATCATTGTCGTCTTCCTCCCTGGCAGCCTCCTGCTCGAATTCAGCAGCCAGCGACCTCGAGACCGGCTTGTCAGGACAAGCGCTCGAGTCGTCCGAGCGGGTGCGCTCCACGCCACGGCGGCCTCTCTTCAGGGCCCGAATCTTGGACTCGCACAAGGCGCACACGACTCCCCCCACCTGCATCGCACGCACCGCGGAGTCCGTGCTGCCGACGCGCCCCTCCACGGCGGCGCAGCGCTTGGCGAGGCGCCAGACACTGACGGCCAGGAAAAGGAGCGAGATTGCGACGAGCAGGCGGTGGTGGGCGCCGACCGATCCGGCCAGTTGAGCAGCCCGCCGCGCCGCGGAGGCCCACTCTCCGCCGCCGACCTCAGCCCACCGCGCCCCGGAGGCCCACGCGCCGCCGAACTCCGCCAGCCCGGATGCGTAGAGCACCGCCATGACGCCGAGCGCGGAGCCGACGAGGAAGTACACGGCGCCGGTGCCGGCGCCGGGCACGTAGGCAGGGGAGACGCGGTTGAGCGGCTTCAAGCAACCGGCACCGGAAACGCCTTTCTTATCGCCGCCCATTGTGACCCAATTAGGGCAAAAAAACACTACGAAATTTGAATTGGATTGAATTGAAATAAATAAACGGAGGAAAGGATACGAGCTTTGGGGTGCTCGTGCGGCGGTTCCGGTGGAATCGGTTGCAACTGGAAGAAACCTGGGGCTGTGTTGGTTCTAGGACGGAGCTGGGGATCTGCACGGGCGACTGCGGCGGCGCAGGCGTGGGCGAACGGCGGTGATGGCGAGCGGGCGTGGAGAGATTGGAAGGCGAAGCGCTTGGAAACAGGAAAGCTAGGGGGAGTAGAACTAGTACTCCGTACTACACAGCAATAGAGTAGCAGCCGTGGGGTTCTGTTGGAGGCTTCTGGAGGTATCTGCGGATAAGTTGTGGGCGGTGTCCCTGGCCTGTGGGTCTCGTATCTCCAGTGGGCCCGAAAAGTCGGTGCGTGGCGCATGGGTTTCGTTTTGTGTGGAGCCGGACAAAAGGATCGGACGTGGGTGGTCGACAAGTCGTATCATTTTTTTTTTCGATGATGAAAAGGAGTCGAATACTTGTGGGTACTGCATGACAAATGGGGTCACAACGGGGTATGGCCGTATGGGCCCAGTTGTATATGATGTGGAGCTCATGCCATAGCCACGCAGATATGGGGTCACGACGGAGTATGGAATACGTGGCCATGCAGAAAAGCATGGGAAGATCCAAACGGCCGAAGATTTTCATCCAAAAAAAAAAGTTCAAGGAGGTTTCTTGGGGGAAAAAAAAGAAAATCTCTATGGATTTCTTGTCACCTGATATCGTATGGCTTGTGATTTGTCATTTCCGAAGGGACAAAGGTTTGTATGTAAAATATTTTTAATAAAATGATAAATAAGTACTGTGGTTTTTTTTAAAAAAAAGCTCACAATTTTATACCTTTTTACTTACAAAAACTATAGTTTTGCTATACCACATCTTTCGAAACCTACGTCTAATCTATCCAACATCAGAATTGGACTAGCAGGTCGTCAGTCTTCTAATGGTATGGCATACGCGCAACGGTTTGGACTAGCAAGTTTCATTGAAGTCCCTGGAACTTACTACATGAAATTCGATGCAATTTCAGCATTTTGAAACTAGCTTCATACGGTTTCTGCAAGTCTTCGAATGCCACAAACAAGTTTCGTTCCTCTTTTCGGTAATTTTTCTAAGGAACTGAGGCAGGCAAAAAGGCCACCTGAACTTTTTTATTGCAAATGGCATAAGTAATTTACATGCAAACAAGGAAGTCCTTATGGATTTTACAAAGGGGTGAGAAGGCAGCAGAAAAAGGAAGATAGTTCACCATCCTCAAGCTAAGGATTGAGCTAACAAAAAAGGCACCAAAAAATGAAGCTCCACGGTACCTAACTGCCAATGTGAACGTAGAGCCCACAGAGACTAAAAATCTCGAGCCACTCTCCAGGCCTTTTCTCAGCCCATGAACTCTAAAACTTTTTAGCCCATGATGAACTATATAGGATCCCACGTTCAGCCTGTTCGCTGGTTCGATAAGCCGTTTGTGCTGGTTTGTACAGCTGATTTATTGTGAGAGAAAAACACTATACCATGGCTGATAAGCCCTGGCTGAAACCAACAAGCGAACAGGCTGACTCTTATTAGCAATCTCTTCATTGGCCCAGTAAACATATTTGTTTCATGTGTCAAACATATACACCTATAGGAAATCCACACCTATATATGGGCACTTATGCAGCGTTACATAAAAATCATTATCGAGGTTTTACAATATTGGATTGCATGTGGTCATGGTTTGCAAGATTACAAGTAAATGCATTAATGCAAAATGATTGTAGTTATGCCTATCGTCAAGTGACAACACACTTTTTTTTCCTCGAAGGAAAAGGTACGAGACATCTATTTTCTCGAGCAACAGGGCACGGCGACGTCGGCACCAGTACCACCAGAGGTAATCTTAGTGAAGCCGAATAGCCGATTACAAGGCTAGTCCCAATGAAGGTTTCGTATCCCAATTTTCAAGACTATTATATGTTGAAAGCAAAGTATAATAGTTTCATCTTTATAAAATACATTTTATCTCATGAAACTTTGATTATCTCTCTTCATTTATATTGTACCATATCACAGACTCATAAAATTCTCACTAACACTGGCCAACCCACCTGATCCCACCACCGTGGCACCGTGGAACCCTAAACCCAACCCAAAAGAAAATGCGGTTAAAAACCGTCCCAAAACGTGGCCGCCAAACCCGCCGGCGTGGGCCACGCCATGCAGCAGGACCGCGACGAGATCCCCAGCAGCAGAGGAGAACGTGCAAGGGCAAGGCTGATCGGTGACGCTGATCGACTCCCCGTCGGTCTCATCACCATTCCCTACGCCCGGTCGCCGCTTCGGCCGCCCCCGCCAGTTCGGGTGCCGTCCCTTCAACCGGCACGGACGGCCGCCGGCGCCGCGCGAGCCGCGAGTTCCTCTCGTCGCGCCTAAACGACAGAACCGGGCGTCCTGTCCCGCGCCCGCGCGGTGGATGGAATTGGAAACGCCAAGCGGACAGGCGGTCCGGTCCCTGTGCGGACGGATCCGTTCAGGCCCCTGGCCTCCGGTTGGTTGCCAGCCGCTGCCGCGCCGACCCGAGTAGAGCGAGGCGGTGCCCTTGCCATGAGTGAGCCGCGTCCTTCGCCAGAGAGCGCTCCGGTACACCCACCGAGCACGGATCATACAGCCCAGCCGCATTCGTCATCCATATGCAACGTTAACCTGTTATTATAATTAAAAAAGGTGGGTACGAAACCGTGCATACGTTACGGAACATGCTTTGATCACTTATAGAAAGTCTGCCGTAGTTGCTACTACTACTCCGAGCTCCTCTACCGTTGACAGCTAGCCACAACAGCCAGGCCGGTCGTTTTCTCAAGTACAGAAATCATCTTGCGATCCAAGATCCAGCGTTAAAGGCGTTTCGGGACAAAGGAACTGTTCCAACAGCGACGAGAGTCTGCAGTTTAGGCACACTGACCTCTGCTGCTTTTTTTTCCTACTCTATTCCTACCAACAGCTATAGGATTTGATTATTTGTTTAAATCAGGGATGTCACATCGAATGTTACATCGGGGTGTCACGTGGGACTGTTCGAACAATAATAATAAAACAAACAACATGTTTCGCTTCCTCGTTTCCATGAGGCAATTTTAAACCAAAATTAGTTAAATGTTTTTTTTCTCTCAAAAATCCAAAGACAAATTATGGACTAACTATAAAAAAATTTCAAATTAACCAAATGAATCAAGCCCAAATTATTTTTAGTCTCAATTTAATTCTCATGCAAGATTTAATTTATTAAGTCTAATTAGTTCATCGTTAGTATATGTTTACTGTAGCATCACATTGTCAAATTATGGACTAACTATACTTAAAAAATTCATCTCGCAAATTAATCACAATTTATGTAATTAGTTATTTTTAATCTATATTTAATTCTCCATATATGTACGTGAAATGGAATAAACTTTAGGAGAGAAACTAATCATGGCCTGATTGCAAAAATCTCAGCGCACCCTACTGGATCCCAAACTGCAATCTGGCACTGTGCACTGTGAATGCTGGGCTCACGTTTACTGTGAATGCCGATGCTGCTCCCAATCTGGCAATCTATACAATCTGCTAAAAAATCTATACAAGAACGGAGAGCTCAATAATCCTGTACAGAAGGAAACTAGCTGTTCATTTGGTACTGTACATAGAACACGCGTCGCACGCCAGTCAATCAAACAAAAAAAAGAAAAAACGAAATATTCATACATGGCATAACTTAGAGGCATATAATTGAATTGTCAACCTTTATATCGTCAGATTAAGCGATTATTCTCTGGTGTACTCTGTGCCCACAGTATCTCAGGTGATGATGCCCCTTTAAGCAAATTTTATGAAGGCTGTACTTGTATACGCGGAGCCCTTGCTTATACAGCAAGCAAAACAAACGTAATTTAGCACGCGTACATCCAGCACATGTGTGTACGTGCGTACAGCCACGCTGCTGACGCCCAAACCGCGTACAGGAGATGGCGGTCGCATCAGCAGAACCTTTCTGCTTGGCACAGAAGGAAAACGAGGGGTCGAAGTTGAAGGGCGGGGGCCCCGCCAACCGAAAATGGTCTCATACGAAAAAGTCAACGTATTCGTGCAGGAACAAAGTCCACGAAGGCGTAGATTCTCCCTCTCTGGCAGGCACTCACCGGATGCTCTGTGATCCTGCACCGTTCATGGCGTGCACACCGCATACGCGTCGAGGTCAGGCCAGCCGAGTAGGGCAGAAGGCAACTGACGGTCCAGCTGAAAGGGGTTTCCGCTGGACGGTCGTCTGTCTTTGCTCTCCAGATTTTCAGCCTGTTCGGGAGTTTCCGCTGGACGGTCGTCTGTCTTTGCTCTCCAGATTTTCAGCCTGTTCGGAAGGTCGTATCGTATCGTGGATTATTTACAAATTTACCATGGTTTAGTGTGAGAGAAAAACACTATTCTCGACTGGAAATTTACGATCGTTTACGAGCAAACGAACAGGCTTTTCACCTCGCCTGCGCGTGCCTACGCTTTGCATCAGCTTGACAGTGTCACACTTTCAAAAACGGTGCGTGCAGATGAGTGAGGCTGTGTTTAGTTGAGTGAAATTTGAGAATTTGGCTACTGTAACACTTTCATTTTTATTTGACAATTAGTGTTCAATCATGAACTAATTAGGCTCAAAATGTTTGTCTCGCGATTTCCAACCAAACTATGCAATTAGTTTTTTTCGTCTATATTTAATGCTCCATACACGTATCGCAAAATTCGATGTGATGGTTACTATAGCATTTTTTAGGAATTTGGTTTTGGAAGGGACGAAAAGGAAGTGCTTCCGCTTTCATCAGTGGCTGATCACATTGCACGGCTTAGGCCCTATTTAGATGCGAAATTTTTTAGTTTTTAAGCTACTGTAGCATTTTCGTTTGTATTTAACAAAAATTGTCAAATTATGGACTATTTAGGCTTAAAGGATTCGGCTCGTCAATTATGGGCAAACTGTGCAATTAGTTATTCTTTTTACCTACATTTAATGCTCCATGCATATATCACAAGATTTGATGTGACGAAAAATCTTGAAAATTTTTGGATTTTGGGTGGGATCTAAGGTCCAGTTTAGTTTGCAAAAAATTTTGCAAAATTTTTCACATTCTCCGTCACATCGAATCTTTGGACACATGCATGAAGCATTAAATATAAATAAAAAATAAAACTAATTACACAGTTTAGACGAAATCCACGAGACGAATCTTTTAAGCCTAATTAGACTATGATTGGACACTATTTGCTAAATAACAATGAAAACGCTACGGTATTCATTTTGTAAAATTTTTTACATCTAAACAAGCCCTAAACATGGCCTTAACAGAAACGAAAGGCGGTTGACGTCGGTAGCTTGGGAGCTAGCACCACTGCTGCATCTATGGTGACAGTGATTACTGCGAAACAGTCCCGACGACTACGCCATCAACCCCATCATGACATTTACTGGCCACCCACCAGCGCTGACGGTTATGGCTCCAAGATCCGGTCGAGCTCGCCGCGCCCGTTTACTCTCTTGGTCGTGCCACGGCAGCAGAACAACTCTTGGCGTGCATCTCGCCGCGACGCGCCAAGTTGCGTGACGTCCGTCCATCAAGCGAGCTGGATTAGGATCGTCTTTCTTTATTACAAGTAGGAGGGATGCGGTACATGATTTATGTAGGTTGTTGTCTGTCATACCAAACATTGCCTAACACACTTGTTGATTTGATCGATACGATTCCAGCTCAGATTGACATCTGTTTCTCATTCAGCACGTAGCAACTCCCCTTTTTTTTCTCACTGCCCAAGACTCTTGCATCAGGGCCATAGAACGTTCCATCCGGCGGTGCAGAAACCGTCCAAATCTCACCGTGGATCACAATTCACGCACCGTTGCGAGCTCGCGGCGCCGCACCCACCCCCCCCCCCTGCTGCACCTAAACAGCGCAGCGCCGGAAAAAAAGCTTCTTTCCGATATCCGACTGTCTTGTTTCCATTCTTCCGGTCTTCCCTCCTCTCCCTCCCCAGCAGCTGCCCCCGAATGGTGTGATCAGGCCGCCCGGGGTGGAAAGAGAAGGCGCGGCGCGACACAGCCAGCCATGCTCCCGCCGCGCGCCGCCGCCGTGCTGCTGCTGGCCCTGGCGGCCGGCGCGGCCCGGGGCGCCGACGACCTGGCCTCGGACACCGCGGCGCTGCAGGCCTTCCTCGCGCCGTTCGGGTCGGCGACCGTGTCGTGGAACTCGTCCCAGCCGGCCTGCTCCTGGACGGGCATCGTCTGCACCGGGGGCCGCGTCACGGAGATCCACCTGCCCGGGGAAGGCCTCCGGGGCGCTCTCCCCGTCGGCCCGCTCGGCGGGCTCACCAAGCTCGCCGTGCTGTCACTGCGGTACAACGCGCTCTCCGGCCCGCTGCCTCGGGACCTGGCCTCCTGCGTCGAGCTCCGGGTGATCAACTTGCAGTCCAACCTCCTCTCCGGCGAGCTCCCCGCGGAGGTGCTGGCGCTGCCGGCGTTGACGCAGCTCAACCTCGCGGAGAACCGCTTCTCGGGAGGATATCGCCGGCCATTGCCAAGAACGGGCGGCTGCAGCTGCTCTTCCTGGACGGCAACCGCCTCACCGGTGAGCTGCCGAATGTCAGCATGCCGTCGCTCACCTCGTTCAACGTCTCCTTCAACAACCTCAGCGGCGAGATACCCACGAGCTTCGGCGGCATGCCGGCCACGTCTTTCCTCGGCATGCCGTTGTGCGGCAAGCCCCTCCCACCGTGCCGAGCGCCGAGTTCGGAAGCGCCGTCCTCTCAGTCTCCCACGCTCCCGCCCGAAGCACCGGCCCCGACGACTGACAGCCGCGGACGAGGCAGGCATCACCTCGCCGGCGGCGCCATCGCTGGCATTGTGATTGGCTGCGCCTTTGGCTTCCTGCTCATCGCGGCCGTCCTCGTCCTCGCGTGTGGCGCGCTGCGCCGGGAGCCGAGACCAACCTACCGCAACCATGACGCCGTTGCGGCGGAGCTGGCCCTGCACAGCAAAGAGGCAATGAGCCCCAACGGCTACACTCCACGCGTCTCAGACGCGCGACCGCCGCTGCCTTCAGTCCCACCAGCCGCAGCCGCGGGACGGAAGAAGCTTTTCTTCTTCGGTAGGATTCCTCGGCCCTACGACCTCGAGGACCTGCTGCGCGCGTCCGCCGAGGTTCTTGGCAAGGGCACGTACGGCACCACGTACAAGGCCGCGATCGAGTCTGGGCCGGTCATGGCGGTGAAGCGCCTCAAGGAGACCTCGTTGCCGGAGCGCGAGTTCCGGGACAAGGTCGCGGCCATCGGCGGGATCGACCATCCCAACGTCGTGCCCCTGCAGGCCTATTACTTCAGCAAGGACGAGAAGCTCATGGTGTACGAGTTCGTGGCCATGGGCAGCCTTTCCTCCATGCTTCACGGTACGTGCTCTGTTCGTTCTTGTCGATGTCAACCGACCCCTCTCTGTTTTGATGACCGAATTGAATCAGGTTTTCTGACGGGGTTCCTAATTGCATTGCAGGCAACCGCGGCTCCGGCCGGTCGCCGCTGAGCTGGGAGTCGAGGAGGCGCATCGCGCTGGCCTCGGGGCGCGGCCTCGAGTACATCCACGCGACGGGCTCCATGGTGACGCACGGCAACATCAAGTCCTCCAACATCCTCCTCAGCCGCTCCGTGGACGCGCGCGTGGCCGACCACGGGCTCGCGCACCTCGTCGGTCCCGCGGGCGCGCCGACGACCCGTGTCGCGGGGTACCGCGCGCCCGAGGTGGTGGCGGACCTGCGCCGGGTATCGCAGAAGGCCGACGTGTACAGCTTCGGCGTGCTGCTCCTGGAGCTGCTGACGGGGAAGGCGCCGACGCACGCGGTGCTGCACGACGAGGGCGTGGACCTCCCGCGGTGGGCGCGCTCCGTGGTGAAGGAGGAGTGGACGTCCGAGGTGTTCGACACGGAGCTGCTCAGGCACCCGGGCGCTGAGGAGGAGATGGTGGAGATGCTGCGGCTGGCCATGGACTGCACCGAGCCCGCCCCTGACCAGCGGCCGGCGATGCCCGAGATCGTGGCGCGCATCGAGGCGCTCGGCGGCATGGCGTCGGCGTCGACGGCGGCGCGGTCCGGCCGGAGCGCGTCCATGGACGAGGCGGACGACCGGCCGCTGAGGACCACCGGATCGATCCGCCAGAGCTGAGGTCCGTGTCCGTTCGATCACCTGTGTTCTTGTCACTTGTCAGGCAGCAGCGTAGTGGTCATTCGGTAACTCATGGAAGGTTCGGAAGAAGAAGAAAAACAAAGAGATCTTTCTGTTCTGTCTTCTTGCGTTTGTCGTAGGGCGTTTGTCGTGTGCTGTTTATTCTTTGTTGAAGTTTCATGAATCTCTTAACACTTCTTCGTCCTCAGATGAATTCTTTCGTTTTAGCAGCGGTGAGTGTGCTGATGATGTTGAATTGGTGGTGATAGGAAAAGCCTTGATGCAGTCATGCAATGTATAATGAGACTTTTCCCTGTGCGTGCCATTATAAAAGATCGAAATCCTCTGTATACCTCTGAAAAAAATTCGTGATCTTGGTAGCCTCTCTTTCCAACTTTTTTTTTTTACCACTTCTTCGGTTCGAGCTCTAACGCGTCAAGCTGCAGTGTGAAAAAACGAAAATGCCCTTAAGTTCAAATATGTTATTAATTTTTTAGCATGTTAGCGACTTCAAATGAAAAAACTCAAAACTAGAAAGTTGTAGATCTCGTCGAGATCTATAATTTTCATATAAAATTTATTTTTATTTAATTCCGCAAAAAAATATGATGATTTTTCTAAGATATATTAATCATATCAAATCATATTTTTTTTGTAGAATTAAATGAAAATAAATTTTATATGAAAATTATAGATCTCGACGAGATCTACAACTTTCTAGTTTTGAGTTTTTTCATTTGAAGTCGTTAAGATGCATAATAACATATTTGAACTTAAGGGCATTTTCGTCTTTTCACACCTGCAGTTTGACGGCGTTAGAGCCTGAACTAACGGAAGTGGCATGGAAGACCCGAAAAAGTTAGAGTAGTGGCGCTGAAGACCGTTGAATTTTTCCAGAAACACACAGATCTTTTATAATGACACACAGAAAAAAGTCTCATGTATAATTACTTTACCTCTAGTACCTGAATGGTGTTCAATTGAAAAGTTTAGCTCTTGTTTAGTTCAAGCAAATTTGGATTTTGAGCCTCTCAGTAGCACTTTCGTTTTTATTTGGCAAATAGTGTCCAAACATTGACTAATTAGGCTTAAAACGTTCGTCTCGCAATTTCCCACCAAACTGTGCAATTAGTTTTTCTTTTCGTCTACATTTAATGCTCCATGCACGGGCTATAAACATTCGATGTGACAGATACTGTAGCAACTTTTTGAATTTTAGAGTCCAACTAAACAAGGGCTTAAGCTCCAGCCCCGCGTGCGATCGTCCCAGCTGATTGATTTCGTCGGCAGGTTCTGATCGGTTTCTAGATCGATAAGTCTAGCGCTGGTTTGTTGGATTGGTCCTAGAACCAACGAGCGAACAGGATTACGTGCGTGTCATGTCTCGTCACCTACCAACTGCACCACGAACCACAGAGTTGCTTTTGTGCCACTACCCCTGCTCGCTGCATTGACTGAGGCCTTTATTTCCTAAAAATTTTCACCCTAAACTATCGTATCAAATCTTGCGGCACATGTATAGAGTATTAAATATAGACGAAAAAAATTAATTGCATAGTTTGGTTAAAAATCACGAGACAAATGTTTTAAGACTAATTAGTCCATGATTAGCCATAAGTGCTACAGTACCAACATGCGCTAATAATGGATTAATTAGGCTTAATAAATTTGTCTCGCTGTTTCCAAACAAGCTATGTAATTAGTTTTTTTTATTAGTATTCGAAAACCTCTTCCCACATCCTAAAACATCCGATGTGACATTCAAAAATTTTCATTTCGCGAACTTAGGCCTTGTTTAGATCACCTCCAAATTCCAAGTTTTTTCACTCTCTCTCCATCACATCAATTTTTGGACGCATGTATGGAGTATTAAATGTAGGTAAAAAAAATAACTAATTACACAGTTTGGTTGTAAATCACGAGATGGATCTTTTAAGCCTAATTAATCCATGATCGGACAAAGTTTATCAAATACAAACGAAACGTGCTACAATATCCAAGTTACAAAAATTTGCAATCTAAACAAGCCTTAAACACAGGCTGAACGCTATGCATCGGTCATGTACTCCAACAGGAGTAATAACGACCTCAAATCACAAGCTGCAAAAAACTGTTTCTCTGCAGTCAGTGACGGCGTCGTCACAGCCTCATAGGCAACCACCCTCCAGAGCTCAGACCGACTTGTTCCTGAACAAGCGACCGAGTCGGGCGAAGACGACAACCACACGCGATTTGACTGACGTAATGCTGGTTTGGCGTTTGTACACTGCGATTCTGCGAAACACAGAGAGATTGCGGAGGAAGCAAACACGAACATGGGCCGTACTTGCCGACCACGAGCTCCAGCCATGTATGGCGTATCCATCCTTAACAATCCTCTTATAAGGCCCTGTTTAGTTCCACTTTATTTTGTCAAATTTTTCAAGATTTTTCGTCACATCGAATCTTTAGACGCATGTATGAAGCATTAAATATAAATAAAAAATAAAACTAATTACACAGTTTAGACGAAATCCACGAGACGAATCTTTTAAGCCTAATTAGACTATGATTGGACACTAATTGCCAAATAACAACGAAAAACGCTACATTTGCATTTTGCAAAAAAAATTCGGATCTAAACTGGGCCTAAATCCTCTTATCCTCGAAGGAAATAAAGAAGAGACGATGCTGGGGAGCTGGATAGATCATGCACGGCCTGTCAAGTTAGTTGTCAGGCTTTATAAAAAGAAAGGCGGGTCGATGGAGCCGAGTCGCTCCCCCACTACGAGTCCACAACAATCAGTGCGCGATTTCCCGGCAATAATGCCCGCCCTCGCATTATTGCTTGTTGGTCTCGCCGGATCGCCGGCGGCACAGCTCGGCGGCACTGTACCGTGTGTGTATTCGTTGCATGGGCTCGATCGCTTCCCGTTCTTCCGGGCAGCCAAGCCGCTTGCCTTTGCTTTGAGGCCGCTGGATCTGAAACTCTGAAGGGACGAGTCGTGCAGGGTCACAGTGATAGCAGCAGTGTACCGGGCGGGTTCACGAGCTGGCAGGCACACGAACAGGAAGCGACGCGTCCAGAGGAAGGAACTGGTGTGCACGGCAAGGCACCGGCAGGCAGGCGTCGTGCGGAGCAGTAACTGATGCCGGCTTCGGCCTTCGGCACGATGCAGCGAGCGCGAGGGCGCGCTCCTCCTGCACGGCCTGATCGGTCGATTCGATCGCCTTTTTCGCTGCGTCGAGGGTCCACGCCCGCCGGCCGGGTTGACGTGCACATCAGATCAGCGCCGTCCGTCGTGGGAAGAGCTGGGGCGGGTGCGTGGGGGCGTTGGCCGGCCCGGAACCGGCGGCCCGCGGAAGAATGGGTGGTGTGTAGTGGAGCCCCGGCCAGCCTCAGCAGCTGCACTTGGCAAGTGCGTCCCACCACGTGCCGTGCAGGCGATGTGTGTCCCCTCCGGAACAGCGCTGCGCCGCCTCCTCGTTATACTAGTGCGGTGCGCTCTCCCGCGGCGGCCGGTCAGGCTCAGACCACCTCCTTCGTAAGTGAGCACGCGTGCGCTCCCGGCACCACGGCGTCGGTGTTTAAACACTTTGCAGATTTGCAGACTTGGCAGTAGAGTGTAGACATAGGCACATAGCCCATGGCGTACCACGGCCGCGCACGGTCCCTGCGCCGAAGGACCAGCTGGCGACTAGCCCATGAACTTACGAACCAGCAGTGTTGGGTCTTAGGCCCATTTAGCGAAACGGGACGGGCTTTGTCATTCTAATGGGCCACAAAGCGGCCCATTCTCCGTGAGTCAAGTCCAATCCCAACGCAAAACTCAGACAGGTTTTCTTTCTTCTCTCTCAATCCACAAAAATTGTCGACGGGCCCACGTGCCATGACACAGACCGCCGCTTCCGACCTTCTTATCTCGCAAGAAATGGGCGGACCCAACGCGCAATAACCCCCTGCAAAACCCGCTAGAACCCGCCACGCTCAGACCGCATAGCGCCCCCGCCCCCCAGACACAACCCCCCACCCCTCTCTAGGGTTCTCGTCCCCGCGCCGCCGCGCTCCCAAATCCCCCCGAAACAACCATGGCCGGCGGTCCTGCGGCGGTGTCGTTCCTGACCAACATCGCGAAGGCGGCTGCGGGGCTCGGAGCCGCGGCCTCCCTCGCCTCCGCGTCGCTCTACACCGTCGACGGCGGCGAGCGCGCCGTCATCTTCGACCGGTTCCGCGGGGTGCTCCCGGAGTCCGTCGGCGAGGGCACCCATTTCCTCGTGCCATGGCTGCAGAAGCCCTTCATCTTCGACATCCGCACGCGGCCGCACAACTTCTCCTCCAACTCGGGGACCAAGGACCTGCAGATGGTCAACCTCACGCTCCGCCTCCTCTCCCGCCCCGATGTTCAGCACCTCCCCACCATCTTCACCTCCCTCGGCCTCGAGTACGACGACAAGGTGCTCCCCTCCATCGGCAACGAGGTGCTCAAGGCCGTCGTCGCCCAGTTCAACGCCGACCAGCTCCTCACCGAGCGCCCCCACGTCTCCGCGCTCGTCCGCGACGCGCTCATCCGTCGCGCCCGCGAGTTCAACATCATCCTCGACGACGTCGCCATCACCCACCTCTCCTACGGTATCGAGTTCTCACTGGCCGTTGAGAAGAAGCAGGTCGCGCAGCAGGAGGCCGAGCGCTCCAAGTTCCTCGTCGCCAAGGCGGAGCAGGAGAGGCGGGCGGCCATCGTGCGCGCCGAGGGAGAGAGCGAGTCCGCGCGCCTCATCTCTGAGGCCACGGCGATGGCTGGGACAGGGCTGATCGAGCTCAGGAGGATCGAGGCGGCCAAGGAGATTGCTGCAGAGCTGGCTCGCTCACCGAATGTGGCATACATTCCTGCTGGGGGGGACGGAAAGATGCTGCTTGGTCTCAATGCTGCCGGATTTGGCCGGTGATTCACTGTTTTGTTTTAGTTTGCTTGTGCTATGCTGATGCATGACTAAAACGGTATTTCGAAAGTGATATCTGCTACCCCTGCTTATGTTAAGTTTCCCGTGTCTTGGAACTAAATGTGTGTCTTGTGCTGCAAATAAGTTTTGGTCTTGATTCTGGGCAAGTGGGCATATTTACAATTGGTAGGGTTAATTAATGTGACATATTGTGTTGAGCCTGCATTCTAATTCCCCTTGCATTGCATTCTCATGTCAAATTCATTGATATCTAAAATTGCTTGAATTGTAGATCTGTTGTCGCCTTCTGATATTGTTCCTGCATTACAACTAGTGCTGTTAAGATTTTTCTATGTGTTTTGACCTTTTAAGCATATATCTGCTGATTACTAGTGTGCTGTTGAGCCTGCAGTTGTCTAACTTATAGGATGATATTTTCTCATCTTGGTTTTGATTGATAAGCTAGTGGCGTAGCTAGAACGTTTCTATTGGGTTTGCACTTTGCACCACCTGGCTATGGTGCAGTGGTAGGGCCCCTGTCATCTGAAATATAGGTTCTCATGGCACATTGAGATGCTTTGTAAGTGCCTCATAGGTTGATTACTTCCTTGTGATATAGCCCTGTCATCTTAAATAGGTTCTCATGACATTTAAATACTAGCTGTGTCATCTTAAATAGGTTCTCATGACATTTAAATACTTTGTTGGTGCCTCATCTGTTGATTATTTGCTTGTGCTATAAGTGATAGGTCTTGTGATTTGCAGTACATGAACTGTTCATTCATTGACGAACCTATGCGAATTCTCTTCTTTTGGGAGTCTGTTATCAGATTTACCAATTGACATCTTAGTATGATGCCGCATCTGGTTTGTTTGGGTGTGTATTAATACACGGGTCAACACTAGAGTCTGAGAATATGTAGTTTTGAGCTTCAAGGAATTACCTAGCAATGGATGTTTTTGCCCTGAACCCTGATGCATTGAATATTAGGTGTCCATTATCTTGTTTATACTCAGAGCCCTGTGGCATCTTGAATAGGCAAATTTGGAGTGCTTGTCGGTGCCATCATGGGTTGATCATTTGCCATTCTGGTGTTTGATTTTGGTGTTTTGCAGTTCATGAACTTTTTGATTTGTTAGGTGTTTTATTTGTTAGAGGTTAAGCTCTTATCGGTCAAGTTGGAGTTTGGCCTTGTGTATTGTTGGATTTTAGCTTCATAGTATGGTACAGCATATGAATGATAGTGAAGGATGTGTTGGTCCTGATGTATGCGAATATTGTTATCTTGATCTTTGGTAGCTTGCGATCATTCATAACCTGCCCTGCAGCGTAATTATGACTTCATATTTCAAATGATAGCCTTTCTTCAGTACCCGGTAACAACTACTGAGCTAGTGAGATTCATATACCAGTTTAGTTTCTGGTTTCTAGCATAATGTGTATTGATTCGATAGCTGTAACCTAAATTGACTAGCAAACTTAACATGTTCTACCAATAGTTTGGTACTCCAGATAAACCTGGCATTCGTATATATTACATGTGACTATGTGAGAGCTCGTGGTCAGCTGTGAAGCTAGAACAAAATTGAGTTGAAAGGTTTGGACAAAGAACAATATTGTGTTTTTTTATTTGGCATTGGTTAAAACCTGTATCCCTCGTCTGTCACATGAAAAACTCTTTATAAATGGCACCATCAAAACTCTTTATATGATTTCTTTCAAGTCTGACTATATTCTGCTATACATGCATGCCAAAATGACCTGTTTTAAACTGACCAACTGGTCTCCGTTGAACTTCCAAAATGACTAAAGAACCGATCAGTTCGGTTCGGTCAGACCGAACGCCCACCCTTGGACAGGACAAAATTCGGCTTGAGCTAATTTCGAAACTCACTTGGGCCAATTTCTCTAGGAAAGCACTGGACGGTCTGGCGCTTACAGGTCCGTTACCATCGTACTGTCTAGTGCATGTGTTTTATCAAACCGTATTCAACGTGTTTCGGTGCTATGTGGGAATTGTTCGGCGTGTGCATTTTTCCACCATTGGACTACTCGTAATTTATCGATGTTTACATGGGTGTGTAAGAATTGTCTGGCGCGTGTATTTTCCTTGCTGTTGGACTATTCAGTGAATGCATTTTATTAGGAGGTGTTTGGATTCCGGCTACAGTTCGCCTCGCCGCAATTTGTGGCACGCCACAGTTCGTAAGGCTCCTGTTTGGTTTATGCGTAGACAAAGGCAGACACAAAGACACCACACTCATTTGCCGTCACACTCTATGACGAAGTGTAGAAAGGGAAATAAGAGCCAACAGGTGTTCTATTGATCTCTGAACAATGTTTATAGTGTTACAACATGGTTGCTTTGGCAACCGTATGCCTACGGTAGAGTACATCGTGTACGTCGTGGCTGCGCGTGGGCGCGGGAGCATGGTCACCGCGCACGCGCTGCGGTCAGAGGGCCCGTAGCGGTTGTCAGTCGAAGCCTTCTGGCACGTATCCTCAACAACCCCCCCTAGTCTGATGGGTGATCGGCAGAACACAAAACGGAAGCTTTCGAACGACGCCATCGGTAGACCTTTCATCATGACGTCTGCGACTGTTCACCTGTCGGAATGTGGAGTACGCGCAATTCGCCCAGTTGAACTCGTTCTCGGACAAAATGAATATCGAGCTCAATGTGCTTGGTGCGCTTGTGGTGAACTGGATTCGATGACATGTATACCGCGGAGACATTGTCGCAGAACACCACCGTCGCCTTCTTGATGCCACAATGGAGTTCACCGAGCAGCTGGCGTAACCAGATGCATTCGGCGGCTGCGTTTGCCACCGCCTCATACTCGACCTCCTCGCTTGATCTTGACACGGTTGGCTGCCGCTTGGATGACCAGGAGACGAGGGAGTCACCGAGGTAGACGCAGAATCCCGACGTCGATCGCCGAGTGTCTGGACACCCTGCCCAGTCCGCGTCTGAATACGCGGTGACGCTGAGGTCGGAGGAGGCGCGAAGCTGGAGCTCGTGCGACGTCGTGCCGCGGACGTACCGCAGAATGCGCTTGAGAAGCGCCATGTGCTGTGCGTGGGGATCATGCATGTGGAGGCAGGCTTGCTGTACGGCAAAGGCGATGTCGGGCCGCGTCATCGTTAGGAACTGGAGCGCGCCCGCCAGACTGCGGTAGGACGTCGTGTCGTCCGTGGGTGGGCCGTCGGCGGCGAGCTTGTTCTTAGTGTCGATTGGTGTAGAGGCAAGTTTGTAGTTCGTCGTCCCGGCGCGATCGAGAATGTCTTCAGCGTACCGCTCTTGAGAGAGGTAGAACCCATCCTTGGTGCGCTTGACATCGATCCCGAGGAAGAAGCGCAGCGCCCCCATGTCCTTGACGGCGAATTCGGCACGGAGGCAGTCGATAATGTGCTGGAGCAAGGCTGAGCTAGACCAAGTGAGCACAATGTTATCGACGTAGAGGAGGAGATATGCGATGTCCATGCCGCGACGAAGGACGGAGAGGGACGAGTCAGATCGGGTTGCCTTGAAGGCGATCTTGGTGACAAAACCGGCGAACGGAGTGAACCATGCCCTCGGAGCCTGACGGAGTCCATATAAGGACTTGTCGAGCAGACAGACTGCGTCAAGGCGATCAGCATCGACGAAGCCCATGGGCTGCTGACAGAGAACATGCTCATTGATATGACCATGAAGGAACGCATTAGAGACATCGAGTTGCTTCGTTGACCACTGGTTAGATGCCATGATGGCGAGGACAGTACGAATGGTGGTTGGCTTGACGACAGGCAAGAAGGTTTCACTGAAATCAATCCCTGCTCGTTGGGTGAATCCGCGAACCACCCACCTCGCCTTGTAACGCTCTAGTGAGCCGTCACGGTGATTGGCCGGGTAGGCGAGAAGAACACACGACGTGGATCGGGCGTGGAGCTTATGCGGCGCTGTCAAAGCTTGATTGGGATAGCACAGGCACCCGAAAACCCTTAGATGATTGTAGGATGGTGGTGCGCCGAGGAGAAGCTGAAATGGAGTTGCCTGACCACTGGTCCGACAGGGACGCCGATTAAGAAGATGGGTTGCCGTGGATAGGGCCTCCACCCAATATGCATCAGGCAAGCCAGCATGAATAAGAAGACTACGAACACAGTCGTTTAGTGTTCTAATGATGCGCTCGGCCTTGCCATTTTGAGATGAAGTGTAAGGACAAGATAGGCGGAAGGTGACACCATGGTGTTCAAGATGACGCCGAAAGGCTAAATTATCAAACTCTTTCCCATTGTCGGTTTGGATTGCAATGACAGGTAACTGAAACTGAGTATGAACATAAGCTTGAAATGCAATGAGGCACTGAAAAACATCAGGCTTGTTGCGTAATGGAAAAGTCCAGACATAGTGTGTAAGATCATCAATCAACACTGTAACAGAACCGACCAATTATACGAGATTAAGTAAGAAAATCTTCCGCCGAAGCAGATAATTTAGCAAACTTAAACCCGTATAACCCGGTAGTCCGTGAAACCACAAAGGATTTCAAACCAATCGACATACAAACCAAGATCGTACAAGTTTAGCAAGTACCATCACACGTTACATAAAGTTCGCAAGGACAGTTGATACATCAGAGTTTGGAACATAAAGTTATTACATACCAAGTTCGAACTGAAATAGCGGAAGCAAATAGTTTTAAAGCCACACACACACTTTGGATTGAGATACAGTGCCAGTAGGTAGTCATCTCCAACAAAAACATCAGATGAGAAATACGGAGTGACCATTTGCCCTTGGTCCTAGTTGTCACCCATCACCGGGTACAGGCAGTTAATGCAATAGCCGTAGTACATTTGACCATCTGCAACAACAATGGGAACAACGCCCTGAGTACGAGATGGTACTCAGCTAGACTTACCCGTCTTAAACCAAAATAAAATGACACCAAGGATTATGCAAGGCTTTCTTTAGTGGGCTAGCTGACTCTTTTGCGAAAGCATAAGTTATCATGAATAA